TAAAGGTTATAGATATGTTAAATAACCATTCCTCCGGAGGTTAGCTCCAAAACTGTTGCTATGCAAAATAGCTCTCAATGGCCTGGCTCCATTCTTTCTTCCCCCCTGTGGGGGGGGGGGGGGGGGGGTGAGGACATCTTATATGTCTCTCCAATATTCCTATACACTTTGAATTCTGGACACTTTTCTAAATCTTTTTGGGGGGCCCCCTTTGGCTGCACCCTGTATCAATATTACAAAAATGAAATACAGGTCCTGGCCAAGTAGATCATTTATTAGTGTCTCCCTGGTATGCCATGGCTGTGGGTTCCATCCTGGTAAGGAAACATACAAAAAACAATCAATGAGTACATATATCAGTGGAACAACAAATCAATGATTCTCTCTCTCTATTCTTTCCTCTCTCTCTCAAATTAATTAGAAAATAATAAACCCAAGGCTTTGATGTGTGGGGGAAAATATTGCTGTAATGAGAATCCTGGTAATTTATTATAACAAGTAGTCAATATTTTATCAAAACGAACTCGTACAAACTAATGAACATTTCCTACAGTATTCAATTTTTGGACCTCTAGCAGTTATAAATTCTATGTTTTTAGCTCATATGTTTTTTAATTCATATTGATGTCTGCTATTTAAGCCCTCAAGTTATTTGTATTTTCAGTCAGGTCCCCTGTAATACTCTTCACAGCAAAATTCTGATATTACTTTTTAGACAGTTTGTTCTCTGTATATAGTTGCAAAGAATAATAATTTTTATGGATCATCTTTGCAATGCATGTGATAATGGATTTACTTTAGTTGGGTTCTCTCTGAAAGGATCATGTTCCCAGGAGAAAACCTGTGTTCTACTTGGTTCACACATGTTATACTTATAGTGAGCGTACCTATAGTACACTATGTGTGTTTTTACCAAGCATAAAACATTTACCACTTTAATGTTGAAAAATGGTAACTAACACATATACTGCAGATTTGTTTGTGCTATGTTAAAACTGTAACTTGTATATTCATGTAGTGTCTATATTGATAAAACATTTGTTTATTGTCTTTTGCTTTTTGGACTATATACTAACCTTTCTTACATTGACTTGGTGTCTTGATTTGGTCAGAATTGGAATAACTATGACTCACTTAAATGTATTTATTTTTTAAGTTTTATCTTTATTTATTTATTTTTATCATCAACACTATTAACTCATTTAACTTTTCAAAATGAATTTTGTTTAATTTACAATGTAACCTTGTATAGTTTTTAAATAAATATAGCCTGCTTTCCCATCCCCAGAAAACTAAACTCTATTTCCCATACTCACAACTGTCAACTTACTTTTGTCCAACCCTGTACCTTTTCCCTCTGGTCTCAGAAGGTCACTGCTGCGATCCTCATTGCCACAGTAAATATTTTCTGTTTTGATTTTCATACCATCCTCCCACCAGAATATGCATTGTAGGCTTCCACTCATGGAAATTGTCTTCCCCTGGATTCGCATTGTCTTATTTCTATTTCTAACTCTCTTAAGTACCTTCATTTTCTTTCAACTAGTGTCTTAAATGTTTAGGATGATATGCAACCCATGTTTATATGTAGTATTTAAAATCCTAACTAATGTGCTTAAAGTCTCTGTATGAAAGAAAAAGACATCGAAGAACAGCTTTTTGTGGTGGGCATCACCTTCACTCCACACTTTCTTGTCTCCCACTCTCTGGACCTCTATGTAGGGGAGCTTCAAAACTCACATTTTTAAGGAGACTTCTAACCTAAACTTTCACTTCATTTTCAACTGGCTACAAGACATTTCCATAGCAACCTTTTTTTCTAGTACCTTGAAGTACAATACAATATACCTAAAATGAAACTCACCCTCCACTCCCCAGTTCACACCTATCTTTCCATTATTTGAAATGCAACACATTTTGGTCAGTCATTCAGACAAGAAAACTAAATAGCCATTAATCATGACCTCTTCTTTATCTCCCATAGCAAATAAGATATCATGAAGCAGAGAATTCTCTTTTTTAACACAATTACTTTTCCCTCTTAATTTTTACGATTCAGATTTAGTGCAGGACTCTGCCACTTTACACATTAGGTTTGTTGAAGTGATCCCAACTTCATCCCTCTGTCCTGCTGTTTCTTTTTAATAAATTCATTGTGAATATAATTTTTCAGAATAATTTTCACAAAATGATTTTTTATTATTTTCCTTAATTAAAAAGTCCTAGTTGTAGTTCCATTGCCTTAAGAATAAACTGTCTTCTGTCCACTTGAATTTCTACCCTTGCTTATAACAAAATTCTAAGTCCTTTAAAATGTCATAACCACACTTCAGTATGAATCCTATAATTCCAGCTCAATAAAATAAAAAGGAGCTTAAGCAAAAAAAGGAGCAAAGACCTGGATGTTGTATTTACTGTGGATCAAAGTGGTCATAGGAAAAGCTAGATGATCAATATGAAAATGTAAATCAGGAACAATTTACATAGGTTCTTAAATGTAGGTGCAAAATTTTTTTATAATGTATTTCAGAACAAGAATTTGGACCTTGAATGTAGTCAGAAAAAAAAGCCAGTCTCCAAGGGGTAATGATTTTGAACAATGGTCAGAAATTTCAGTTGTGAGGTATAAGACTGAACAACACATGTGTCAAATAAAGGAGCTCTTACCCTTCACAACAGCATGGATGGAACTGGAGAGCATTATGCTAAGTGAAATAAGTAAAGTGATGAAAGACAAATATCATATGATCTCACCTATAAGTGGAACCTAGTCAATAAAATAAACAAGTAAGCAAAAATATAACCAGAGACATTGAAATAAAGAACAAACTGACAGTAACAAGAGGGGAAGAAGGAGGGTGATAATGTAGAAAAGAAGAAGGGTTTTCAGGGAACATGTATAAAGGATGCATGGACAAAGCCAAAGAGGGGTAGGATTGAGGGAGGGAGGTGGGCTTGGGTGGGGTGGGGGAGACTGATAGGGGAAAAATGGAGACAACTGTACTTGAACAACAATAACAAATTAATTTAAAGTTTTACTCAAGTAGCCAAGGGGAAGTAAAGGTAGAATAAAATAAGAATCTGACCAGGATGGGTTTAAGAATAACAGTGCAGGAGTTAGTCAAGTTGGTATGGATGTATATAGATATGGAAGTCTGTCTAAGAAATAAGACTGAGTGATCAATGACGAAAAAAAGGAAAAGGCAAATGAAAACAATAAGATAAACTTATAAATATTCAAAAATAGTATTTAGGTGGGAGGAAATGTGATTTAAGCTTGCCTGTACTACTGCTCTTACATTGTGCCATGCACTGCCTTTGGAATTAAAAGTAATTTACTTTAGAATCCAATTTTCTCCTTCCCCTATTTATAGTAGCTTTGAGTTCTAAATGTAAAGTGTTTAACACAGTACTGGGAACATATTAAACATAACAAATGGAAGTTATAAATATTATTTTCTCCTACATGTCTTATTGCAAAGCCTTTCAATCTTTAGGTACTTGTTTGCCTTCCTGATGCACCATTTTTGCCCCACAAAAGTAGTCATAAAACTATTTTTGTGTCAAAACTTTAAATTAAAGTTAATCTGCTATATTGTTCTTAATTGAAATATATATTGATATAATAAGGTCATCCTTCAGCAAATCAGAAAAACTTGTTACATGATGAGTGTCATACTCTTTAAATTTGCTATATACCAGAAATGAGTCCCTCAATGCTTATAAATTTGAGTCAATTGCATGGTTATCTGAGAAAACCATACAGCACTTTGCTCTTGGACCTTCTGAAATCCAGCTGTAGCAATAACCACATACAAGACCATGTAAGTCAGATCTTTGTAATTTAATTCAAAATCGCCCCATTCTTAAAAGAATTGACTTATAAAGAATATATGTCTTCCTTTCAAGTTTTACAATATATTCCAAATATAATACAGGGAAACAAACTACAAATAGGTAAAGAGCCCCAGGTCCTACACATGTATACCTAAAATAGCTTCATATTATGGTCAAAAATTTGAAGATAAGTCTTAAGTTAGGGTTATGGGAAGTCCTCTTCTCTTACTTTCATTTATTTAAATATTTTATTTATACATTTTTAGAGAGAGAAGAAGAGAGGGAGAAAGAGAGGTAGAGAAACATCAATGTGTGGTTGCCTCTCATGTGCATACCACCTGAGACCTGGCTCGCAACCCAGGCATGTGCCTAGACTGGAAATCAAACCAGTGACTCCCTGGTTGCAGGTCCACACTCAACCCACTGAGCTACACCAGGTGGGGTCTTCTCTCACTTTTAAATGTAACCACCTATTCTTATCACACAAGAGATCTAACGAGGCATTGAAAAAGATCTATTTTTTCTCAAGTATTGTAGGTCAATTAAAAGGGATGCTTACTAATATAGGTAGTACAAGTTTTATTTTTTGTTCTTCCATTTTCCTGAGGCAATGAAAACCAAAGCGATAAAAGACAAAACATTTACAATATTACACAGATTGAAGAGAATACAAGAATTTTACCCATCTTCTCCCATTAAGCAGAATTTCTAAACTGAGCACTCATAAGCTGATTCTACCCCACATCCATGCTTTCATTTATTTAATTTCATCTAACACTAAAGTACTTGACTGTATCAGCTTTATCTTGAAAAATTAAATATACATATTTCATATATATATATATATATATATATATATATAATCAGTATATAAGAAAGAATAAAAATCATTTTTTACTTCTGCTCCACCTTGGAAAAACTAGGAAAATAAAATAAAATAAAATTGAAAAACAGATTAAATTAAATAAAGGGAAAGTACAAAAATGTGCTAAAAACATATTTTAATACACTGGCAATTATATTAACAGTGTGAGCTAATTTAACTAATTTAGAGACATAAATTTACATTTGAGAAAAATTAGAAATTATCAATATAAACTGTTTAAAAACCCACAAGTAAAATATAAGTTCTCAGAAACTTTAAAAGATAAAAAAAGTTATGCTTGCTTTGGCAGCACATACAATGGACTTTGAGCCATACAGAGAAGATAAGCAGGGACCCTGTGCAAGGACGACCTGCAAATTTGTGAAGCATTCTGTATTTTTAGAAAAAATAAGTCAAATAAAAAAAATTAAAAAGTCATTCTAGTAAAATAACAGGTTTACAAGAAGAATGTTAGATTTCTGATTTAATAACAATATTGATACCATAATCTATCTTTATAACTATCTACATAGAATATATTTGCATTATTTGTGATTTGTTTAAATGATCTTTACACAATAACAGAGGAAAAAGATCACCAAGGAGATCAAGCAATTCTAAACTTTCTGCTGCTCATAAAATAGACTATAATACCTACAGCTAAAACTGGCAGAAATAAATCTCTACGGTTTCATGGAATATTTTAATACACATTTTCTAGTAATGAATAGCATCAAAAAAGGATAATATAATAATTCAAACTGTACAGTTAATTGGATTAAGGAGAGAAAATTGACAAAGTTTATTATATTAAACCTTTACTACTTAAATAATCTTTTGAAATAGATTGACCTTACAAAGCAAAATAATTCAATAATAATACATAAAACATGTAAAAGTCAAATAATAAACTATATGAATACAAACAACTGAAATGTTGATTTGATATTGAGAACAGCATTGATTTCAGAATTTTTCCATGGATTGCTTTTTAACATATACAACTTGGTTTTAGCCTGGCATATTGAAATCTTTTCAGAGATTTGTAAACATCCATGTTTTGTATTGCAGGTAGATAGGGAAATATGCCCAATAAAGATGGTTAGCTCTGAAATGTTTTAGAGCATTGGCAGTGGAAGCATGTGGAGAGGGCCTAAATACACCATGCCAGCCTGATGATAAAGCTTCAGTTACAGTGTTATTAAACACTGATAATGACAGCAAGAGAAATGCTTTTAAAGAGTTGGACAGAAATACAGATGGCTTCTCACCAGGCCATTGTTTATTCCTCACTAGTCTCTCTAGTCAATCACTATTTCATATAGAGCTAACACGGTAATTAATCATTTTCTTATATTTGAAGTATTACCATTTGGATATGGTGGAGTTAATGATGTAAAAATACCAAAAAGAGACTAAAATTCTTTTTATTTGTAAGAATTTTGAGCAGTACATTTGCACACTCACTATTATTGTGGCTCTAACTGTATTTCATGAATGTGTAATATCCCTATACTGTGCAGAAGGGTGGAAGATTCCTCAATGATGGCAGCTTAGAATCCAAATTGTGCGAATGAGCATTTGGTTTTCAAATAATTGACCTAGATTATATAAGCTTCCTACATGAAGTAGAATTAATATTAGGTTCTATAATTAAGCTATATAAGCTTAGATTATAGAATACAAACACACTTTTTAATTGATATATAAAAAATATTTTAGAACAAAGGAAAAAACAAAACAAAGGAGACATCTGATATATTTTATTCTAAAAATTTGATATGTGTGCTTATCTATTTATATGAATGTATATACACGTGCAACATATATGTGTTTTAAAATGAATAGTATTATGCTAAATGTTCTATATAGCTTTTATTTTACTAGTCTATGTATTATTGGTGTATTATTATTTATCCTTATTGTACATAATAGCTATTGAATGTTTTCATGTAGTATTTTCTCTAAGTTTTCATTAAAAGTAAATGAACTCTCTTACCTCCAATCCATATACTCTCTAACCCAGAGATAATTATTTTTTATTTTTATTTTTTATTTTAATTGTTGTTCAAGTAGTTTTCTGTCTTTTACTCCCATAACAGCCAACCCACCCAGCCCTACCCCCTCCATCCCCCTCCCTCCCCTTTCCACCCTCCCTAGTTTTTGTCCATGTGTCTTTTATACTTGTTCCTGTAAACCCTTTTTAAACTATTTCTCCTATGTCCTTTGATGTTTGGCGGAGATTACTTGCTGCTTAAACCAGCTCGTGTTCTTTAGTTGGACCAATTGCCAAATAATTTGTCTTTTATAGGAAAGGTCATTTAATTGATATCTGGCCCCTGAGATATATGCAGAACTTTATGTGATAATTCAGAAAAGTCTCTTTAATGAGATGAGAAATACTCATCTTCTGCCTCTTCTATTGTCTTGTGCACTTGGATTCAAAATGAATGCTTGCATATTAGCATTGTTTTCCTTTGGTTTTTACAAAAGTGTAAAATGTAAAGAAATAAGTATAGATGTAGAAATTAAGAAAATAAAAACAGACCTAAATCAAATGAAAGAGGCCGAACTTTGATTGTTTGAAATTACAATATTAAAATTGATAAATATCTACCAAGAGTGATACAATAAAAGAATAAAAAATAAATGACTTAATATCAAGGCTAATATTACTATAACATCATTACAGATCTTCAGATATCAAAAAGATATCTAGAAAGTACATTAGGAATAATTCCATGGCTAAAACTTGACAAGGTGAGCAAAAAAGACAAATTTCTAGATAACTACAACTTAAAAAAGGTGACAGAAGAAGAAACAGAAAATTAGAAAAATTTGATACCTATTAAAAGAATCAAATCTGTTATAAAAAACCTTCCACAAAAAGTAATAAAAAATAAAGAAAATGAAAAGAAATTGAAATTCACAGGCACAGATGGATTCAATTATAGCTTCTTCCAAACCAGTGAACTGTCCAAGTTTTCTCATAGCAATAGAGGAGTTTAAGTTGCTGACTTTATGTGCTTGTAAACCAGCTACATAAGTAATAACCAGAAGCAGAAGTGTTCTGTAGTTTTTATATATTTGTCTGTGTTATGAGAATTTTCCAGGCCTGCTATATTGCAATCTCTTCTCCCAAGAAATATAGAAATCCAGTCCTTACATGTTCTAAATAATAAAGAAACATTTTAATAAGATATTTTTGTGAATCATTCAATTCAAAGGAAGAAAAAATGGTAACCTACTTCTTTCCAGAGAACTTGACAACAGGCGAACTTATTCATAATCCGATTTTCATAGATAGGAGTGGGGGATGGAGAGGCTATAGAAATTCACCTACAACTTCAAGGCCTGAATAAAGAGGACTAAAAATTCATTGCAGTTAATATCTGCTTAAACACTTTCTGCCATCTTAAGTGGAAAATAAAGCTTTGACAAAACTTCCTAATTAATATCTCTCTTTGATTTCCAAACCTTTTAGCCAGTAGCTTATGAAAAGCTTTTAATTAACTTGGGATCTAGACAGGACATGTACATAAACATTTGGTTAAAATAACAGAGAGATTTGGCTTGGACCAAGATCATTGTAATAGAGATGGAAAATAAAATATATCTGGAGGATTTTTTTAAGAGATTAAGGAATTAGGGCTAGCTAGCAGTTTAGATGTGGAGGGTGATGCTAAGAGAGGAATGAGGGGTTCCACCTACGTTTTTTACTTTTCTGAAGCCACTCACTCTACTTTTCCTCATTCATCTGCTTCTGCTCATGCATCATCTCTCCAGATCAGTGTTCTTTGATGCAAGTAGCAAAAAATAATTATTTTCCATTTACACAGAATACAAAAAAATTGAGTGAGTATTTGATGGCTAACACTGTCACTGCAGAGGTGAAGAACCAACCTTGCAAATGATAAAAAACAAGAGATGCAAGGCAGCTCTTAGACCAGTAGAAATCAGAATCCAGAAGTAGGCCCATGAGGACCCATCTGATTGTACTGCTCTAGCTGCGGCTTCCAGAGGAGGAATGCTTCCTGTGCTTCTAAATCCAGAATACTGATATTCCCACTTGCTGCTGTCACCCCCAGGATGCTTTCTCTATTGTCCCTTTTCTTTTGAACTAACTCCTAATTCAAGTTTGGAAGTGGGATAAGGTAAAACCTGACTAGTTGAATCTAGGATTTATAACTTTTGCCTTCCTTTGATGAAGGTTGAAAAATTCCATATCTGGCCTTTCTAAATTCTAATGAGGTATGGAGATTGCCTTCTTGAATGGCTCATATATTGAAAAAATTTCAAGTGATAACTAGTGTTTCATATGCTCCAGAGCCCACAGCTAAGAAATATGCAGATACCTTCTTTCCTTTAGTTACTTTTTAAATAATATTGTTTTTCAGGAAATCAATTTGGGATTGTATCTCTTTTCCTTCTTCATCTTGTATTCTTACACACATTTGTGACTTAAAATGTGGACATGCTAAAAACTCTACAACGTCGTATTCCAACATCTTCTGCCAAACACATATGCAATGTCAATCTATAAGCCTTTAAATAAATGCATATAGAAGTAGAAGAAAAGTAGTTTCTACTATTTAGAATGCTAGGAAGGCCAAAAATGACAATAATAACAGCAATACAATTATCAAAAGAAGTAATGTTAACTGGTATGTGTTCAACAAGGACCATGATAAAACAGAGAAGGGACTTCTAGCCCATCCTCAGAGAAAGGACAGCTCATCAAGAAAGATCATACTAAAGTGAATCTAGAAGGCTAAGATGGGTTAACTAAGGAAAGAAGGCAATACAGGCACTAGGTTTTCCAACACCACCCTAGTGCTTAAGAAATCAACACTATAACAGGAGTGGCTAGTAAAAAGTTAGGCATTGGTGTAATTTAATAATTCCAATATAATTATGTTAAGAATGCTATATGCTTGCAACATGGTTGCAGAGTGGGCCTTCTTTGACACCACAGAGTGTTCAAGATATACAAAGGTTATTTTGGCAGCCCTGTAACAGAGGATTAGAGGAAGCAGACCATAGTGAAGGAGACCAGGTAGGAGGCTATGGGACAATTTAAGTGGTGATGTCATGTTAAATCCAACTATTTTTGATTTACATAATGTTTTCACTCTCTCCTCTACACATTCAATTTTTATTTTTATTTTGAACAATAAATTATCACTCTGAATTTACTAAAAGACATAATTTCTATGTTTTATTTTCAAATCAATAAAATCACACACCAATTATATTTAACTTTATGTGTCTTGATTTGCGATTTTCAACCAGCATGACACACACACAAAATTAAAATATCACTACCTAAATGTTTAGTGGGGGGCACAGACTAAACATTTGGCAACTTTTCTCTTAGGTTGCCAAATAAAAATGACAGCAG